CCGACAATCAAAATCTTTCCATGCAAAGGAGTCTGCAGGATGCCTAAAGACACCGTCATTAGTTCGTTCTCTGCATGCCATCTCATTAACTTAGCCGTCTTGGATGACATAAACAGCCTCTACAACTTGGCTTTAAAGGAAAATACCTCATTTGTTTTGCAGCTATTTGTTTGCCACCGTTGTGAGGACCATTTGAACCACCATCACCATTTGATTTCCATCTTGAACTGTTGCATATGACACATTTATCAAGATTGGCGTCCTCGTTTCGAAATAACATGCAACTGTTGGGACATGCATCCCATGTCTCATATGTGAGCCAAATCTGTTGTGACCTTTTGAGCTTATAATATGAGTCCGGGAGTTTCACACCCAACGGGAACGCCTCATTCAATAACTCAAGCAACATGTCAACAGACTTGTCTGTCCACTGATTAAGCACTTCAAATGTAGAAGCCGAACAATGAATGACAAAGATGTGAACTTCTGACAACCCGGATACAATTCACTTTGTGCATCTTGAAGAAGTTTGAAATAGTTTGCAGTCTCTGCATTTGGAACCGAGTGGGGTTCAGATGCATGGGGATCAGTGCTCTGTGCTTCATTACCGTCAACACTTGTACCGGCATGTGGATTTCCCACAGCCCCTTGTATCATTCCAACCATATCGTCGCCAATGTCTAAATTAGCCACTGTTTCATTCGCTCGATTAGCATGCAGAGATATGTAAGATTCCCCATGATTAATCCAATGTTTGTACTTTTTAAAAAAAACCATTCAAAATCAGATGCTTCCGTATACCCTCTCGCACAAGATGGTATCGATTCTCACATTTTCTACACGGACAACTAATCATCGAACCTTCAACCCTATTGGTGTAGGCAAACACAAGGAATTGATCAATCCCATTAATGTATTCCCTCGACATCTTATTTGGCAAATCAATCCAACTCTTATCCATCATCTGTACTTCCCTTATATGTGTTTCCCACTATTAATTTGCTTCAGGCAAACTTACTGGGAGATATACATCTCACATACAAAACAAATATGCCCTAGAAAAAAATATAATTACAACAAATGTAAGAGTCATAATGAGATGTAAGGGTAAAAATATAATTACAAGACATAATATCACATATTAATTATCGTAAGGGAAGAGGGGATTGGTGGGCTTCGAATCCCGATTAGTGAGGAAACAACCAAGGGCATGCGCTATTGGGCCAAATGCTATCCTCAAATGCATTGATAAATATAATAATGGGTTATAAAGCTTTTCTATGTTAATTCAATTGCCCCATTCTGTTTTCATATAAAATGCTTGCATTTCAATTCTATTGTGCAAGTGCTTCAGTTCTAGATTTATTTATGTAAGGTGATTAATCATGGTCTTTCTAGACTGAAAAAGTGATAAGGGTGGTAGTAAATAAGAGTACTGGTTGAATTATTCATTGGGGGCTTGTTGCCAGAGTTATTACAGGTATCCCCTAATACTTGGTTCAAAAAAATCCAAGCATCATTTTAGTAAGATGAAGGATCTTAACTTCTCCCCCTTTCATCTTCACCAAACATAAAAAGAGTATATATATATAGGGGGAGGGAAGGGGATAAAAGATTATATTCCTCCTACTAGTTCTTCAACAGAAGTGAATACTCAACTTGCCTTTGGAACAACAGTGAGACAGGGAACTTTTCCTCCACCCCCAAAACATAAAAAAATAGAAAACCCCCGAGTACCCCCTGCTAAGGGAAACAAGAAACTTGAGTAAAATTTTTCCTTAAGGCATGTAGCATTAGGGTTTCAAACTAAAATGTAAGTCAAACATTCACTCCCTAAACTCAAGCAACTTGAGAAACTTCAAAAACTATAACATCCAACAAAAAATATGCAAATTAATTCATATGTTCTGCATGTCTAATTTAAGTAAGAAGTAAAACTAAAAGGAAATTTTATATGTTAACCTCCTTATTTTCTATCTTCAATACAAGCAATAGAAATTAGAATTGGAAATCTGTAATCATGTAAGAAGCAAAACTAAAAGGAAATTTATGATAAAAACCCAACTCATAAAATATAGGAATAAAAATGAAAATGGTTCATAGCAACAGATAAATGACATTTCACTGCAAATATAAAAAATAAGAAAAAAATTCCAACCAGGCCCTGCTACGTTGATCTTTGGTCGCATTATTGTTGACTTGAATTATGTGAAATGTTTATACATCGCACGACTTATCTCAATTCAATGCATATCACACTAGTAATTAGACTTTACCTTTTTATTCACCTTTGGCTCTGTTAATAATTTTTTATTTATTTTTAATATAAATCACAATGACCAATTGATGTAGAGTGGAGAGGGAGAAAAGGGAGAGGAAAAATTGAAGGGCCATGACCCAAATCACACAAATCTATTAATCAACTTCATCCAATACAATTACCGAAGCTTTTTAGTTGTATGCTAAAAAACCCAATATTAAAAAGGAAACAAGAATTGTTAATAAAATGGGAAACCAAATATACTAATAAGACTCCTAATAAACTATAATTTAAAAATAAAATAAAATAGTAAAGACGTAAAATTATAAAATTTCCATATCAAATTGGTCTGCCAATACTTGATGAATAGTTATGAACCATATCTTAGAAAACCCTATACAAAGAATACCAAAATCTAAATAAACTCCCAAGCAAAAATGACTCCCCCATTCCCTTTCCTACAAGAAATTGAATCTCTCTCACGCATCTAATTTGGGAAAAAGAAACAGAGAGTTTACACACAAATTACAGGATTTGAGTTTAGATTTAGACTAGAGCTTTGAGCCAAAAGGCCTAATTGGACCATGACAATAAACCATATAACGAGTATGTTTGCTACTAATATCCAAACAAGTATTAAAGAGAATCTTTGGTTGCAAATCATGACCCAAAGAAACGCACACAAAAGACAATAACTTCTGTCATAGGACTACAACTCACTGTCAATAAAATTCAAAGAAATGAAATTTTAATTAGTATTGAAGCTAAAAACAAGATATAAATTCAAGTAAGAAGTTTGTACCAATAAAAATGGACCAAAACGTCATGTTTTATTCCTAAGGTATGTTTCCATAATTTAAAATATTTAGCCATAGAGAATATATAAGTTGCATTCAATCTCATAATCTACATGATTATTGAACTCAGAAACAGGTCTCATGTTTTCATACAACTACTGGTTACTGAATATCAGTATCTACATCAAATTCTACCTGAAGTGTATTGATAGGTTTGACCAATAGCTAAAAGAAAATTAAATCATTTTGACCTAATTGATTTGGACCATCAAATAAAAAAAGCATGCATACATATCATCATGGTGCAAATGTCTTCACTAAAGAGTATGTGCTTGAGTTTAAAAACATAACTGCACATTCTAAATTTTAGTCAAATAAACCTTGACCTCCATGTATGAAATACATAGATTCTACCGCATAAATTGAAGAATGGAAAGGATTGAAGGTGCCTCGTCACTCGTCGTTCGCAGTCGTCCACCCTCGTTCTTGCCTCGTCACTCGTCGTTCACAGTCGCTGCCTGTCACTCCGGCAAAGGCCGTCGTTCACCCTCGTCAATCTACGAATGCCGTCGTTCACCCTCCTTCACCCCGGCACTGAATGATTTTCATTTCAGGATTTTGGGGATTTGGGGATTCGGATTTTGGGGGTTTTGGTTTGGTGAGTTTAGGGATTTTGATTTGGGGGTTTTGGTTTGGTGAGTTTAGGGATTTTCATTTGGGGGATTTTAGGATGACCGTGAATGGGAGAAATCCCCGCGAATGGGAGAAATGAGCGGGATGTGAATTTTTTTTTTTTTTTTTTTTTTTTTTTCGGAATATCTACCACCGTCGCAAATGATACTTGATTAACAAAATAAAACGATGTCGTTTTACAAATTTCTTTTTTGGGACGGTCTTATGCTGTCACAAATGGTCCACCATTTGCAACCGCAACTCTTTACCGTCGCTAAATAATACTTTTTGCGACGGTATACGTGCGTCACAAATGCTCCTGCATTTTTCGGTGAAATTTATTAGCGACGGAGGTAAACCCCATCGCAAAAGGCCATTTTCGTCGACGGTAAATAAACGCCGTCGCAAAAATACTTTTTTGGCGACGGCAACTACAGTGCGTCGCAAAAACTCATTTTTTGCGACGGCAGGTGCCCCGTCGCAAAAGCCTCCGTGTTATATAACAGATTTTTTTGTAGTGTTTTTAATCACACTTTTTAAAGAAGTGTGATTATATATATATATATATTTTAATCACATTTTCTAATTAAAGTGTGATTATTTATATATTTTTTAATCACACATTCTAATTAAAGTGTGATTATATATACACTACTACTTTTTAATCACACTTTTTAAATAAGTGTGATTATATATATATTCTTTAATCACACATTCTAATTAAAGTGTAATTATTTATATATTTTTTAATCATACCTTCTAATTAAAGTGTGATTATATCACTACTACAAAAATAATTAAAAATCATACTTCGACAAATAAAAATATCTCACTTTTATTGAAAGTGTGATAAAAAAATTATATTGATATTTTAATCACACTTAATTTGATTGAGTATGATCATATTTATTTTTTATGTCACTTTTAAATTATGGCCTCGTTTGGGAACTCTCATTTTTAGCCAAAAAGCCAAAAAAATATTAAATTAACCAAAAAGCCAACAACCCATACCAAAAAGTCAAAGATTCTCTTTTCTCTCTATTTTTTGCACATCTTTTCGTAAAAAGTCAAAAAGTCATCCCAAACATACTAGTTTTTTTTAGCTCATATTTTAGCTAAATAGTCAAAAAATTACTAAATTAGCTTGTTCTCAAACGAGGCCTAAGTGTGATTATATGGATATTTTTTATTCACACTTTTAATTAATGTGATTGTATATATTTTTGAATATATTATTTTTATATAATAATATATCCCAAACTGGTGCCATTTTCTCTTCCATTACTCTCAGCAGGCAAAACAAGATTGAATTTGTAAGGACAAATCATTTTGAGACTTTTTCCAAATAGAACCCTAGCACCTCCTTGTATGCTTAATGTCAACATCTCTTCAGCCTCTTCCAATCTCCCTTACAGTGGACTCGTCATCCCTTCTCCCTTACAAGGGTATGGCCTCTCTCTCTCTCTCTGTTGTTTAATGGTGGGGCAAGGGTTTTCGGTAACGTAGTGGTGTTGTGGTGGGGATGGAATGGTGTAACGGGAGGTGTGGTGTGAGAGAAGGGCTAGTGGTGCTATAGTAGAGACGGAAAGGGCGGGCATTTTCAGATTTGTGGTGGAGAAAAAGAGTAATTTTGTGGTTGTGGATAAAAGGGAAAAAGGCAATGGATCTATGGTAATAGAGGGTTGGAGGGGCTGTGGCAAGGGGCGGAAGGGGAAGTGTAACCAGGTGGGATAGGGGTTCCTAAGGGGAATAAAGATGTTGGAGAGCTAGAAGAGGGTTAGGAGAGGGAGATAGTGTAAAAGCCCTTCTTGTGTTTGATAAAATACCTGTGTGAAACATTGCCATATTGTTGGGTATTTTAGAGTTGAAGGGTCATTTCATTATCTTGTGTGGAGAATCCTTAGTGCACCAGGTTTGAGTTGTTATGTTTGAAAAAATTTCCATCACAAATCCAAGACTTGCATTTCAATTCTCCTTCATTACATTGTAAAATTGATATTTTTTTTTAAAATGTATTCTATGGCTTAATATTGATTTCTTCTATATTGTTATGCATGAAGTATTAAGATATGAACATTCCACCCCTTGCCACACTCCGGATGACCACCTCTGCATCTTTTTTTTTTTTTTTTTGACCTTGGATCTGTACACCATTAGTGCTACTGTCATCATGTTCAACATGTATGAATTAACCCACTTGGAGTTTACTTCTTAGTCAGCTGTATCATTTCAGCCGTAATAACATCAAATTTTAACTTCTGGGAGTTCTGGGAAGAAAATTGAGTTATTCTTGAACTACCACCAAGACAATAAACTTATTACGATTGGTGCAAATCATTTGAGGTGTTTTTACCAGTCATAAGAACTATATATGACCACGTTCTAGTTGTCCAGGAAGCATGTTTGCCATTACTATGAGTACCCCTCTCTAATTTCTAAACAGACTGTATAAAGCATTCCAGGGAATAGGAAATATTCCATTTCTCACATGGCATTTGAAGGTGGAAGTATATTATTTAAAATGGAATCATTACATACACGTACACACAGAGATAAACAAATGCAGAACGTATAGAATATCTTTTCTGGGGACCTAATACCATGCAAAAGAGAATTGAAATCAAGAAACAAAGTAGCAACCCAAATTATAGTCACTCACACATTGATCTTGCAGCCTGTGGATTACGAGCCTCCATTCCTCAGAAGCTGCTCAGAACAAGAAGCTCATAATCCATGGACAAAAAATCCTCTGAAAATGGAGGTTATGGATGTCAATAGCAAGCATTTTGTATTAGCTCTCAAGTTAAGGATAGAATATTGCAAGAACACTTGGTCCCTTGTTCGAAAATTTTAAGTTGATGTTTGTTAAGAGTGTGCTCGATCCTTATGAGGATGAAAATGATGACATTTAAGATGATGATGTGAACTTGAGGGCTGATTCTGTACAAAGGGAGTATTCTAAATCTGATAGTGATGTGATGAGTTAACGTTACATTTGTTTTTGGTTCTCAATGAGCTAACATACATGCTACAAACTTCATTTACCATACAGTAGAAATGCTTAATAAACCAATTGTCAAAATTTGCAACTCATTTCATATTGGCCTTTCGGAAGATGACCAATACATAGTTACACCAATAGGTAATTATGTGCTTTTCTGTTTGGCTGTTCAGCTTGTTTACACGTTGCTTGTTTTCAATAGTTTTTCAAGTTTGAACTATGAATAACAAATAGTTTTTTTGACAGATAAGCAATGGGCTACTGAAAATGGTGGGATGGTTGATGAAGGTAAATTCTGTTAGAAATATTATAGTTTTGTATGAGAAAAAATTTAGGGCATATCATAATCTATAATATAATATCCAATGTGCAGATGATACTCAAGATCCAGCAGAAGTTGAACAACAATTAGATCGGGTAAAGGACTGGATCAGCTGTTATCACCTTGAGACTATTGAACTCATCAATGTCCTCTCAAATTTTCGCAGCATCTCATTGGTAAAGACCTTTACTTGGTTAAGTGGTGTTAAAGATCAATGTTGGTTCAACTGAATATATTCAATTTATTTTGAATCTGACAATTTCTTAATTTTGTAATGTTATGATATTGATATGCAACTTTATGGTTGCAGGCTTTGATTGAAGGTAAATAACAATCTGACACAAGTTGAAACTTGTAAAAGAAGGCATCCAATCCTGCATGGTTGCACATTTTAAACTGTAAAATAAATCTAAAATTTCATTTTTTAAGTGGTTTTCAGAAATTATGGACAAGCTAGTTAAGGAAGGTATTCTATCTATGGAATAGACTGTTACACCATTGACAAACAAAAGGTAGTTCATTTCTTTTCATTCAGTTTGAATTTTGTGTTTTTGTGTTATTGTAGTCTCAAGTGTTCTTTTATTTTATTTTTTTGGTAACAAAACCACAATTGTAGAAATTCCATTATGATTTCAATCTTATAAAGGAAGAAATGGTTGGCCAAGTTGTCCCAGGCAAGAAAGCTTAGCAGGATATTGGTGAAGATCACATGTACATGAAGGTAAGTGTAATAATTTTTTTCTTCTTAATGGAATAAGTTTTAGGTCTCTAAGCTGACTTATTTGTTTAAGTAGTTTATCTCCTAACAAAAAATGTCACACTAATTACATTCCACATTTTTTCCCTCTCCTATTTTTTGGTTTTTATTTACGTTTTAGGTTCTTATTTGCTGGGAATCTTAGAGCTTCCTGGGCCCTTTAAGTCCCCTCATTGTTCTTAACCATTTGCACTATGTAGAGAAACTATGACCAAGAATTTAGAGATACCTGCTTATAAGTGAACCTACTAATCTTATAAGTTTATTTTCTCTAATTTTGCAATTAACTTCAATATCAAAAAATAGTAGTGGTGGCATAAAGAGTGATGTAGTGATTGTGTATTCACGACTTTGCTTTGTGTATGGACAAATTACCATGAGTTAATTCTGGTTAAGTTGAAAACTAGATTTGGGTCATGGTAGTTATATAACTATTCCAGGCTTTCCCTCTTTTAAACTTGTTTTCTTTTGTGCTCTTGTCTTCTTCTTTTCTCTTTCATCATTTCATCTCTTTCTTCTCTTTCCATCCACTCTCTATTTATATTTTTTCTTATCTGAAAATAGATACACCAGCACATAATTGTTAAAATCTTGGTGGAATTGCTCAACACTTGGAAATGTGGGGGATTGTTGATTTGTTTATTCTTTTGGAGTTGACCCATCTTGACATGGTATATTAATTGTTTTTCTTTCTCCACCTTGATTTGAGCTTTAATTTTTGTTGGGATTTAGTTTAGTTTACTCTCTCTGTTGATGTGTTGCTATAATAATTTTTTGATAAAATGTTTTCAAGGCTATGATTTACTAATATGTGTTTATAGATATTGTTCAATCATGCTCTATATATATATGTCATATTTATATATAGTAATACAAACATTTTATACTGGTAATAATCAAATTCGCTATTTCTTTTCTATTGATGCAGGGGATGAAGAGTCAGTGTGATGAGAAAATGTCCGATTTTGTCTTTTGTAAGACAAGAACAGTCTCTACAAAAATAGTTTATTCATATGCTTCTAGCGGTTTCTAAATTAATTTGTTTTTTTATTTTTTAGGTCAGAAATTTCCTGGAGAGATACAAAATATGGTCAAAGAATTCAAGAACTTAGTTTTTTCAATTTTTTTTATCTTTTAATATATGTAATCACAGGTAAAAACTTTTTATTAATTTCTTTTTATATACTTTTGAATATTTAACTTTCATTTATAAAATATATGATGTTATTCTATTCAATATATGGTTGTGATTCAAAATATAGTATATAGTGTATATTATATTTTTCAAATGTGCGTACAAAAATAATATTAATTATTCTTCAAATATGTCGAATTCCTTTTTTTTTTATCACAGGTTTTATTAGTTATTAATCACACTTAAAATGTGTGATCTAAATATTATTAATCACACTTAAAAGATGTGATGAAAGCATTTTTTAATAACACTTAAAAAGTGTGATTAAAAATGACCCTTTTTAATCACACTTTCAAAGACTACACTTTAATAAAACTTAAAAGGTGTGATTAAAAAACATACATCACACAAAAAAAGTGTGATCTTTATTTATATTTGTAGTAGTGAATGTTACAATAGGGACGAACACCACACCAATAACTGCACAAACGAGGTAGCATCATCCACTTATAAATCACTTCACTAAATCTTCACAAAAAAAAAAAATAGAAACGTAAAAACTTACATCACCTACGCACACCCAGCAATAAGAAAAAAATTTAAACAAAATCACACATAAGAGCAAACAAGTAAACTTTCAAACCCCCAAATCAAGGAAATAACATACCTAAAATAAAAAGGAGTAATTGGTTTGAAATAAAACTTTTAGGACTAAATGGAATAACTTTTCTCTAAATGGGATTTATGAGTAATATTTCCTTAAAAATAATAGTTAAATTATATAGAAAATTAGTAAGATAAAACTAAAAGTGATTCTAATTCCTTATTTTTATTTTTATTTGGAAAATAAAAATATGTATAAATGGAACTACATAATTTTTTTAAAGATTAAATATAAATATATTGTGATTGGATTAAAAAGAAAATATATAAATTAATTATATAGAGTATTGATTTTTTCTTTAATATTCTTTTTAAATTATTTATACATATTGTATATAAGCATATAAAATTTAAATTAAACATAAATATTTTGTAATAAATAATTTAATGTTAAATAAAAATTAATATTAAGATATCAATAAGATAGACAAAAAATAAGTAATAAATAATTTCATCTGTATGGTGCACATAATTAAACACATTTTGTCTTATTTATTTATCTATATATCAAAATATATATTTTTTCAAATATTATAATAATTAAATTAAAATATCAACTATATAACAATATATGAAAAATAAATATTTCTCAAATAGAGTCCATATAAAATTGGTTATTATTATTGAAATTCAGTTTCTGTATAATTTTATATGTAAATTGAAAAGGCATTATGATACGGCTTTTTTAAAAAAAATAAGCTTTTAACTAATAGGAAAAACACTACTTTTAATAATATATATACGATTTTTATAGCGATCCCGGTTGTCCCTTTACTGTTCTGTTGTATTCCGGACTCGGTTCCGTGGAGTTGGTAATTGTATTTATCTTGTTGTTGTCCTTTAATTCCATTTGTTTGAGTTATAGGATGTGTTGGGATTGTTTCGAACAGGTGGGTTGAACCTTGGTCTAAAAATCTTGTTGCCAGGTTTTTCGTCGTTCCGCTCGAGCGGGCCTTGTTACGCTCGAGCGGAGATTGCACACTCTCAATTTTTTGTGTCCCTGCAAAACTTCTGCATGTGTGATTTTTACGCTCGAGCGGGTATTATGGCGCTCGAGCGGGTAGTACTTTGTGGTGTAAGTTCTGGGAGGGGGAAATCTACGCTCGAGCGGACTGGTTTTCGCGCTCGAGCGGATGTACTTTATTCTTGTGTCTTGGCGCTCGAGCGGGCCTTCTTGCGCTCGAGCGTACCTAGTTTTTTTGTTCTTGATGCTCGAGCGTTGTGTTCTCCGCTCGAACGGGAATGTCGTATATCAGTCGACAGCTGGGTATTTTAAAATCACTTTTTACATTCTCTCTCTCTCTCTCTTACTTTCTAAAAAGCTATTTTGAGAGCTCCTCTCTCTAGAAACTCCCTTCTCTCTAGGGTTTGATCTAGTTAGAGTGTCTCACTATCCTCCGGCCTTTGTAAAAAGTGTATGGATCGTCGAGGACTCCATTTTGATCCCTAAATCTTCGAGTTTGGAGTATTTTGGTTTTCTTCAACTTCCCCGTTTGAGCTCTAACTTCGAGGTAGGGATATCCTATTCCTTCTCATGAGTTTTGTCTTTGAATTTTAGTATTTTGATGAGTTGGGGGTTGTTGGGTAATTTTGAGAAAGTTTGGGTCTTTGTGTAATTTCACAAAAGATGGGGTTTTATTTATAATTAAACCTATATGCATGTTTGGCATAGAGAAATGATGTAAATGATGAACCATGGATGAAGGTGGAACCTTGGGGTTGTTATGTTAATTATGGAAAAATGCCCTAATTAGTTGGATAAATTAATTTGTATAATTAATTTTGAGAAATGAGGAATTGAATTGAGAATATTCAAATTGAAAGATTATGGGATTAAAGGGTATAGTTGGATTCATTTAATCGCTCACCTAGGTTAAATGTCGATATTTTCCATTGGGTACATTTATTTCCTGTTTAGAAATAACTGCTTTGGGCTATCGGTGGAGGATAGTCTTGATTGTTGTAGACACTGCATGATGATTAGGCAAACTAAAACTAATCGATTGAGTATGCTATTGAATATAGCAACTGGAATAATACATTAATTCTATGCATTGATTGAATGTATATGACCTATGTTTATATACATGTGATGTGTGGGAGGAGATAGGGGATGTACTCCACGGTTTAGGGGAAGATAGGGGATGGACCTCTAAACCGGATTTTGTGTGACATTGATACAGCACTACAATGTGTATCAAGTGTTAATTATGGAAGTGTTTGAATTGATTTGATATAGCACCAAAATGTATATCGTTATCAATTGTAAAGTATAGAAGTGATTCTATGTTATGTTGATACAGCACCAAAATGTGTATCTTTCGCAAAGTGTGAAAATGGTATAAGGGTTATTGATACAACATTGAAATGTGTATCCCTCTTGAATTTTGAAAGTGTTTTAAAGATGAGTCTAAACCTCATTAAGTTATTTGGCTAAGTGTTGAGCCTTATTTTCAAACTCAAGGTTGGAAAGGATGTGAGAAATGAAATGTAACATGGACTTAATGTCATAAAATCGGAATGTGAGATATGTGGATGTATCTGTGTTGACCATCTATCAACTGCTAATCTTTTAGTCATTGTTCATGACTGGTTTAGTGTATTTCTACTGGGCTGTGGCTCACTCTTTATGGGACATCATTTTCAAGTACAGGTAGTATGCCACCTTCAAGGACGTAGCTTGGGAGGCTAGTGGCAGGCAGATTGTTTTGTTTACTTTCTTTTGATGTATTGCATGTAAATTCAAGCCAAGGGCTTAATATGTATTGAGTTAGTACTCTTCTTTTTGTAACCAAGTGTTAACTTGGAAAGCTGTAAGCCCGTAGGACATTTACTTTTGTCGTTAACATGTAATACTTTTGTAAGAGCTATTCTGATTTAATGAAAAGGTGGTTGGTTTCTTTGTAACAATGCATGTCTAATGAGATGGGTTTTATTTATTATTTTGAGGGCGTTACAATTTTTATATAGTTTTGAGATTGACTATATTTTGCAAATACGTGTAACATTTTTTTTTAAAACAGTATAAATTAATCTCATGACATATAATATTATTTTATCTATTTTTTTAAATATATTTTTTGTATTAGAAAAACAGTAAGAGTAAACATGTTGCATGGGCTAGCCAAAACACAAAAATAGCATGATTTCGATTCAATATAATGGTTATTTTAATTATCTAATAAGCACTCTTTGTCATGATCCGAACCCGCCCCTATGGTTTAAGGACATAACCGGCCAGTAATCAAGGGATTACCTATGACCTCAAACCATTCCAGACATAACTCATCAGAGTAAATGGGCCAAATGGAAGCAATTTCAAACTTTTGTCCATAGAGTTGCGCTTATATGGCACGTCATAACAAACCATACATATACACGTTAATAACTTACATCAAAATATGTACTAATACAAAGTTCTATACATACATGATCATTCAAGTCTAGGTCAGCCAATCAAAACTATATACAACGTATCCAAAGTCCTCGCCAACATGACAAAATAAAACAAGATAACAAAAGGGCAAAGATGAGTCTCGTGCGTGAGACGTAAGGGCTAACTCTTCAAAACCTTGGTTATTCCACACAAACTTCACTGAGGCTGGGTTTGGACCTCCCTTGGCTCACCTACAGACACATGAATGAGCGTGAGTGAAAGCCCAGTGAATAATATCAAATAAAGAAGTTACACAAGCAGTATTTAGAACAACGTGCTTCAAACGGCCTTGGGCCCAATTCGTATTTCTATCTAGCATATTTATAAATATAGGTCAAGTGACTATGGTTCCAAACACGTCATACAGCCTCGGGCCCAATTCATCCGTGTCATACGGCCTCTGGCCGATTCATTCATACCATTCATGCCATATGACCTTTGGCCCATTCATTCGTATCACTCGTGTCAAACTAGCCTTTGGCACATTCATTCTTTCATTCATATCAGACTGGCCTCTGGCCCATTCATTCTTTCATTTATGTCAAACTGGTCTTCGACTCATTCATTCTTTCGTTCATGTCAAATTGGCCTTTGGCTCATTCATTCTATCTTTCATGTCAGACTGGCCTCTGGCCCATTCATTCTTTCATTCATGTCAAACTGGCCTTTGGCCCAACCATTTTTTCATTCATGTCAAATTGGCCTCTGGCCTATTCATTTGGCATAGCAAACATTTGTCCACCATTCAAATTAACAAACTTATAAGACTTACATAGGAGTAAGCAATTGGACAAATAACATACTTCAGATATCTTTCTGAAAATATTACTCACAGTGATCGGCTGGTGGATTCACCCTTGAGCTTGACCCTACACATCACATAACACATATGGGTCATAAACGATTTAATCCGTTCTTAATTCATACATCCCTCTTAGGCTTCTTTCTTATCCTTTTTAT